CTACTCCCAGCAGCGCAGCTCTGTACATGTACTTGGCGATTTGTACAAGTAGGTGACACGTACGGTGGCGGTGCAGTCGTGAGTGGCGATCTCTTTTGAAGCAGCGTTGAAATAGGCCTGCCCCCAGCATGGACTCGCGTTGATCCGCTCACAGCTTGCACTACACTCAGACTCACTTACAATCACGACTCCAAGAACAGAAGCGCTACTCTCATCTGCCGTGTCTACCGTCTCCTACTCGGCTGCTCGTAATGTTGTTCTCAGTTCAAAGGGCACTGCTTTGTGGTTGGATGGCTGTGGCTTTGGAAGCAGCGCTTATTGCAGCTGTCGTGTTGCCGCAACACGGCTCGATCGATCTTTTCCCGAGGTACGTGTGGACGCTTTGAGTACCGCTGGTGCGACCCCTCCATAAAAACGCCATCTGACCGGCACTCATCCTCCGCCTGCCGCAAAGGTCGCCTCTCTTCGGTGGCTGGCTCAAGGAAGCTGCCGGTAGCGGCTCTGCGAGTGCCTCTAGCTCTGCGGCAAAAACCTTTTCGAATCCAGCGGTGAGTGAGGTCTTGGTGCGATTTGTCATAGGCTTGCTTGAGCGCTCAGATGCGACAGCGGCGCGTACCTGCAGCACGACGCTGCGCACGTCTCGAGGTGGTATACGGATGCGGGAATGCTCAAGTGAGAACAGAACAGGGACCAGGGATTCACTTGGGTCAATGGTCAGCCCAGCAAGCCTCCTGACACTTCTTTTTGGACTCGGCAAAAGGCGGTGAGTGTGGCACAGATTGGTCAAGGCTTGGGCTCTGCTTTGACAGCTGACAGTCTCGTCGAGTCTTCTGGCGTCTCGACGCTGCATCGCTGCACTTTTCGATCCATGTCCAGAAATCGGACATGAAGTCGCTCCACATGTACAGGAAGCATCCGTCAGAATCGTCTGCTTATGCGTTCAACAAGCATACGGGAGAGTGGAGCACGACTTCCGGCTGGCAGGATGGTATCCCGGATCTCTTCAGCAAGAGCGTCATGATGGATCATCAGCCTCCCTCAACGTCGTCTGACTTCCGTTGACCTATGCGGTACACAATCGACAAGTGACATCTCGAGTCAAAACCTTGGCCAACCAGGTCTCTGGAGATGTAAATCCTCGCTCTCCGCAACTTCGACCTCGCGTACCGTTGCGGTGGCGATCAGAGCTCGAACGTGCATCCGTGCAGCCTGTGGCGAATCGGGTGGCCAAAATAACGTTCGATGTCGGCTCCTGCTCCGAACGAGACGACTCACGAGAAGACTCCGGATACTGTCAAAGCCAAGTGAATAGCCAATTCTGACCCGCAAAAGTTGGCCGGCGGCACTACTTTCGTAGAAATTGTGATTTGCGTAGACTGGGGTTTTTGTGAATCGCAATCGTACCTTGTTGTCGTCGCTCGCCGTTCGGCCAGCCGACTATATTCCGACTTAAACTACTTCGTTCGCAGACTCACAGCACAGAAAAAGATGCCGAAAATCACGCAAAGTCCGGTGGTCGAGCCTAGTGGCAAATACTACACGCCCGCATCGAGGCCCAGCGGCATATCAACATCAGGGAATTACCGGGGGCTTGGTCATGAAGCTAGGCGATACAATGTACGGATGCAGGCCGCTTGCTCGGGGACAGCACCGATGCTGCCGCAAGCTGTGTAGGTGAAGTGCCAACATCGACGTCACCTGCAAGTGGCAAGGTAATGATGGGTGGCGGGATTCAGTCGCAAACCAGAAAGAGCCGATGTAGTCGAGTGCTCGAATCGCCATCGCCCTCGGGCCCCAGCTGCGGTGCAACATCGCCGCCGGACGTTCATAGTGAAAGCGTCAGCCCTAGCATGAAAATTGGGGTCACCTCGAAGGTACTCGTTGAGCCTCATTATGGACCTCAAAGCTTGCTGCTGTGTTCTTGGTCCTATGTATTGCTCGTTACGTCGTGCTATGCACGTCAAAGCTTGCTGCCGTGTCTGTGTCCTTCTATATTGCTTCTTCGGGGTCACCAAGGCCAGCAGTAGGGCAAGCTTGACCAGCTTGATGCAGATCAAAAGAAGCGTGAGGTATAAGAGCGTCAAAAGGCAGCCAGCTCCGTGTGCTTATGTTTGACACTTGCCCCACTCACGACTACCATTTACTTGCTCTTTGAATCGCGACTGCACCGCAGCTGGCTTGCTTGTACGTCAAAGCGTCACATTTGTACCTGTTGGCTTTCCAAGCTGCCATCTTCGTTCGCAGGTACAGGTCGAGCTTGCCTAGAATGCTCCTCAGCAACAATCCTCTGCACCTGGTCGGGAGCCTCGTTGCCATCGCGTCGATGTGCAACGCAGCAGCCTTGCCAAGTCACTCATCTGCCCCAGCGCTTTCAAAGCGGTGAGTGCTACTCCGATGCAAGGGAAGCACACAGCCCGCTCACACCGAATCCGGCCTCCCCCCTCCTTCTCCCCGGGCGCATACTGCATCGAGCCACGACAGGGCAGGAGGGAGCAGCTCTTCTCAGCCCTACGTAAATCCAGACGTGAGCAATGCTCTTGCTTTGCAAGAGCACCCGCAGTCCTGATCGCTGGACTGAGCACACTTTCCCCTCGCTCCATGCGCACTTCTTAAAGCACGACACTGCTCACATCTCGCGCTGGTATCATCCGGAATCTGGACAGCTCGCATGGGCCAAGGACAGGAACCGAGGCTTCACCGTTGTTCTAGGCGCCGCCGTCCACCCGCCTGATGATGATTGGAGGACTGAGTTTAGGGCAGTGAGTAATGCAGGATCTTTGCCTCCAGTTTGTGAAGCGTCACTGAGCAACGGCAAATGTTCGCGCTTTGCGCTCATCATTTCCCATAGAAGAAGGACCTGCAGAGTTTTTACATGCACAGGAAGGACCCCACGACCGGCGAGACGCACCAATTCAACAAGGGTACCGGCAATTGGGATTTGCTAGACCCAGATCTCTGGAAAAATGTCGCGCTGGATTTTGTTCGGCCTCCGAAACCTTAGCACCAAAAGAGAGTCACGTCTCTCTCGCTCTGACTGTGCACAGTAGAATTGCATGCTCATGTATCAAGTTTGATGACTCTACAGATTCAGCAAACAAGACTTTGAACCCATCCGCTCTCAATGTTCGTCGCGGTCAGGAGCGGGCGGTGGTTGAAAGATGCTGTCGAGTGTGTGCGCGCCTGAGACAGAGCCGTGCTTGTCTGTCAAGAAAGCACCACTAGAGTCTGTCGTCGTTCCAGCGGCCAAGGAGTGACTATTGGGCAGATCTCCGGCTGGAGCGCTCGTGGTGGAGCTCGCACGCCCACCTTCGAGCCTCCTGGCTGCCCTGTCCCGGTACCGTGCACCGCTATCAGGCGGATACTCTCCAGTAGCCGAGCTCACACCAGGCACGCCATGTATTTGGCCCCATGCTGCTAGATTGTCGTGACTGGGCGCTCGAGACGGATATGCACTGCCGTGCGAGCCCACGAGACTTCTTGCGCGGGATCTCGTGCCGGTCACAGTGTGTGACCCTGGCGTACTGCCAGACGACGTGAACCTGTAGCGCGTAGGCGAAGTTGCGCGAGATCGACTGATAGTGTGATAGTGCGGATGGCCGGTGAAAGTGTGCCCGGCGGAAGGCAGCAGGTAATGATGAGACGCGGACGATGGTTTGCGTTCGTGATGACCTCCGAGCAAGAGAGCTCTGGCAGCCTCATCCGCGCCTGAGCGGTGGTAATGCTCCATAGCTGCCGCTTTGTCTGTGATCCACGGCGTGCCCGGCTCTGAGGAAGGGCGAGGTGGCTGGGGTATCCTGCCCGACTTTGTGATCGAGTCGGAAAGGCGTACGCCTTTGCCAATGGCCCAGGAGCAAAGATAACCGACCACTCGTCGCTCAATGGCATAGAAGAGGCCTACAAACGGAATAGTGCCTTCGATGGCCTCACGCAAGCCCCAAGTATCTTCGTGTCTGACGATTCGTCCGGCGTCATTGAACTCTAAACGGCTCATGAGACGCAATTGAATAGTGCACAGATGGCGCAACACTTGACGAGGGTGGAAGAGACCCCAGACGAAGCTGCTCACGGTAGACCTTCCCAGCCCTTCGTGAGACCAGTGTGGTACGACTGCAGGCTGGGTTGGGCGGTGCATGACGGTGGTCACACCATCGCCTTCTGCATCGCCATAGCTGTACTGTTCATCCTCGTCGTAGTCTCCATTGACGCTGGGAGGAGTGCTTGCGCGCGCATGCCAAGGATGAGCACTGTGAGGAGCCGAGGATCCGGGGCCAGAAGACATTGGACGGATACTGTGCCCCGGTCCAGGAGTGTGTGGCCTCGAGGAGCCCCACAGGCTGTAAGGTGTTACTGGTGAGTGCGGGCCACTCTTCGCTGCTCCCCCACCTCCAAATCCGAAGCGGCTGAAGATCGAGCTGCTTCCATCGTTGTTGGGCGCAGGATAGGCAGAGCTTCCGCTTGCGTAGTTAAGGAAGGGATGCGGCGTCAAGGAGCTGTGTGCAGCGTGACTGGTGGCACCAGGAGCTGGGGTGCGAGCTGTCGACTTGGGAGGTGCCGAGCCGAACAGACTTGGCAAAAAGGTGACACTGATAGTCTGGTCGATGATACCAGCACGAGTTCCGTCTGCACGTGAAAGACGCATCGAAAAGCGAGGGGACTCAGCCGTCAAACAGAGTGGGCGCGCGTCGGGCCCCACCTGAACAAGCATGAAGAATGGTCCGATCTGACCGCGTCTGCTCACCGAATTCGAAGTCTGAGCAGATGACGTCTCTCAGCTCGCTCGTGACGTCCATTCCTGGCAAGGCAAAAGCCATGATGAATTGGTTGGCAATCTGCTCTCTGCCCACCGCAGCCAAGAGCGGCGATTCGAACACTGGATCCGCGCGCAAAGTGACACGATGAGACAATGATTCTCAAGTTAGCTGATGCAACTGTGAATCGCGCCGTGTGGCTTGCCGTCTGAATCAACTGTACTCAAGCGCATGTATGCGTCGATGACTCACATGCGTCGTACTCGTAGTAGTGCTGAACCATTTGTCGGACCTCGTCTGCGGATCGCTTGCCACCATACAAGGTGCTGTGTAAGCCCAAGATGATGTCCGTCAAGGTGCTTGGACTTGGGGGTCCGTGGCTGAAATGACCTTCGTACGGAGCAAAGTCGTGGGGCATTCCATGCTGAGGATGAGCAGAGCTGGGCTGAGGATCCTGGCCACCTTTGACCGATGACAAGCTCAGAGACATGCTATGACCGACGCCCTTGCTGGGCGTCGTAGCAGGAGGTGCTGTTGCGTGAGATGCATTTCCAGAAGCACTTGTTCCTCGACTGTGGCCGTAGACGCTGCTCGCTTTGGGCGTCTTTGAAGGATGGCCCGAAGCTGAAGACGGGAAGTATGAATCGGAAGTTGGGTTGGGTGGTCGATGGTGTCGTGACCAAGTACCACCCGATTGCGATTTGTCACCCTTGCCCTGACCTCCTTCACCAGGGATGTCTATGTGCATGCCTTTGCCATGCTCCTCAGAGGCTGGCGTCGCTGCACCACGGGGGAATGGCACTGTCGGCGCTGACATCGCTCGGCAGAAACCGTGGTTGCAAAATTCGATGTGCTCGGTAAGGCTGAGTGTGGTGGTGGGGTTCAAACGTAGAGAAGCTCTGCAAGATGGCGAACCACTACTTTTGGAGTGGCGCGGTGTCGTCTGCGAGGTGTATACGCCGTTGAAAGCCCGGCGTTGTTACGCGCGGCCGGAGGGATGATGGGGTAGAACCGTTGACGACCGCTGCGTTCGGCAGGTGTGGGGAAGTCTCGCGACAAAGCCGATAGGTGTGGTGATGAAGCGAGGGAACGCGGCACCCTTGAAGGAAGTGGATATGGCGCCCTTCAAGGAATGAGCTTGATTCCAAGGTTGCAAAGTCGGAGAAAGATGTGCGCTACATGAGATCGACCAATCCGAAAGAGGGTCGGCTTCGCTGCGCTGATGATGTGCCTGCGCAGGTCAACAATAACCGGAACTCGTGATGGATGAATCTGGTTGTATGCACGGTTATGTCGGTGGATGGATCGCGGCTGTTGCGCCTGCAGCAGCCAGAAGGGACGGCATGAGGCCGAGTGGCGCTCATATGGGCGCAGGCAGCAGCAGTACACAGTCACGAGTGTAGGCGCTCACATGTCATGTATGTATGTAGCCGTGTGCGTGTGCGTGTGCGTGTGCGTGTAGTGCGTGTGGCGAGCCTAGACTCTGCTCGTGCAGAGCTGCACATCGCTACACGTTCAATTCAGCTGCAGCAGCAAAGCAAGGCGCAGATGTGAATCAAAATCAAGAATGTGAATGCGGGGAAGGTGTACCGTACGAGGAGCTCAGGCGCGGTCTCCTAGCTAGCTGATCAAGGAGACTCACGATTTGGCCGTCATTTGAAGCACCGCTGCTAGGCTGAGCTAGGCAGCACAGCAGTTCAAAGTGCCCGCCCGCACGCATCGATCTTCATGGCCGAGGCCGCGATGCATGCAGTCATCCAGCATGCACGACTTGCTCAATAAGCAGCAGCAGCGCGAGAGGGCCAGCGCACCGTACCGCAGGCAGTGGTGGACTCACACTGTGACTGTAGGTACACGCGTCCACCTCTGGCTCCTCCACTTGCACAGCACAGCATGTCTGCTTTTCGCAGCATCCCCACGCTGAGCCTCTTCTCTGTGAAGCATGAGTCCGATCCTCAAAAAAATCAGGATCTTGGGCGTGGATCGCGAATCTGTAGCACGACTCACGACTGTGCTCTCACCAGCACTCGCCTGCGATTTGAACGCGAGCGGTACGCGATGGCTTGAAGCTGTCTGTACCGGTACCGTACAGTACAATGAGCAATCACGAACATCACGAGTTGTGACTCGCAAATTCACGTTTTAGCTTCCGAGCGATTCTACGAAACTGCCTGCAAAGATCCGACGCTAATTGCAAGGCTAAGCAGAGTCCGTATTTTCAAGCAGCAAAATCACAAATTCGATTTGATGGCCAGCCAGCCGAGGGGTCTCGCCATCAGAAAGACTGAAAGAGAGAGTGGCAAACAACTCAACTGTGCGGATTTTCAAGCCACTCTTCAATTTATCGGGATGATGGTCCAACCCCATACTTTCAGCTTATCACGAGACATGCGCTGTCATTCGTGAGGTTATCCCGAATGATGGGAATCAGGGGCCTCCGCGCGGGAGGCTGCTCGCCATGCTAAGCGAGTTCCGCGAGCGATGCTGCAAGGGGTGAAAAGGGGAAAGGGCCGCTGATACAGGACGGACGGGTCGTGGGCTTGAGGTTGGATTGATTGCAAGCCAAGCGCCATCAACCCACGCATGCTCCTCTCTCTGCCTCTAGTGACGAAGCTTTGAGCACACACTCACAATTCTATGCCGCAATTTCGGCAATTAGGAGTCAAGAGTCGTGAGTGTGCTAATGGTAGAGCAATTTGCCGAGCGGGATCTGTGAGAATAGAATTGATCAGAAGTTGGCGCGGCAACTCAAATCTACTCCGTCCAAGGGTTTCAAAGCGCCGTCCAAGAATGGTGCCTATCTCGAAAGTCCAGATCTCCTGTACTGCTATTCACGACCACGACGACAGTACCGCAGAGGAGGGCCACATGACACGCGTCTCGAGCTCGAAATGAGCCAAAAGATGAGAGAGAAGCCTGGCCATCCGGTTTCCACACTTCGCGTGGGCTCCTCATGTGCGAACCACTTTGGGCTCCTCAATCGATGGGCGGCTGGAAATGTCGCTCGGTGCCGCAGAAGAGGAGCTTGGGCACAGATTTGCCTCGCGACCAGTGTGGCGCAACCACAACAAAAGCAGTAGTAGAAAGCGAGCAGGTTTTGCGTCATCTCCGCTGGTCACAAGTACACGTACTCGTTCGTACCTTGGACTGACGCGTGCAGCTCAGAAGCCAGCAAGGTTGAGCAGGGAGGGGCCTTGGCGATGCGCTAACCAAATCACGAGGCAGCTAGGCAGCGTCGCTGGTAAGTTCTGCCAGGCTGGATCAACGAGCGAGAGGCAGCAGTACTATTATTACCTCACGTCAACCACATCATGCCTTGCACTCATGGCTTTTGACCATTGCAAGCACGCTAGGCTGCGTCATCACCACGAGGAAATGGTTTCGTTCAAGGATCGCATTTTTCTTTTGGAGACAAGTGAGAGAGGAAGAGGGTGGGTCGGTGAGGGGTAGCGGACTACTTGTGTACATAACGCGACGGGCGTGATTGACATTTCTCTCTCTCTCTGTGATTGCAAAGAAGACAGACAAGCAATCAAGATGTTCAACAACGAGACTGCATTTTTTTCTTGAAGAGATGGTCTGATTCGGACTGATGGGCTTGGAAGCCCTCGGCGGGCTTCTCGAAGGATCGACGAGCGACTCAAAGGTCTTTCGAAGGAGCGCGACGAATAGAAGGGTGGGGCGAGGTTTGGAGGACGAGCAGGGTTGTGTTCGGTGACGTCGACTAGAATTTGAGAGAGTCGTAGGCATTGAGGGAAAGAGTATTTGGGATTGCAAAAGGAGACAAAGCGGTAAGGCGAGCTTTGGCGTCCACGCTTCCACCTTGCCCGTACGGGTGGGCAAGGAAGGTCAGAAAGGAGGATGCCGCAGCTCAACAGCGCATGGGGTGGGGTGCCGGTGACAATGACGGGAGGGCCGCTGTTTGATATGCTTTGACCATTTGCGAACCTAGCCTCATGCGAATTCACAGCTTCAAGCTGCACCACCCTGAGACAATCTCATCTTCTCCTGCTCGAGACGCTGATAGAGCAGGCTAACAGCGAGCTGGATGTTGGCTGGTGGACCGGTGATGGTCACTAGCCGCTCGCTGCCACTGCCACCTGCGGCAATGCCGGCGCCCGGCTCCATGATCTTGATGTGAGATGCAGACATCTGTCGGATCTCGTTGATCTTCGACCCTCCTTTGCCGATTATGCAGCCGACGAGATCGTTCGGAATAAAGATCTGCTGCGTCTGCGAGCCGGGAGGGATCTGGTTGTTGCCGAACGATGCTGGAGCTCCTCCACCGGGAGCGCCGTATCCACCGCCGCCAAAGCCTCCCGGCGCTCCTGGCTGTCCGTACGGGCCAGCTCCGCCACGCGAAGGTGCCATAGCTGCAGTAGCAGTGGCACCGCTCGTGGGCTGGTAGGCAATGTTGTGCGAGTTTCTTTCCGAGTGCTCCAGGAGGATCGTACCCACGTAGTAGACTGCAATGTGAACAGCGTCAGCAACACCCGATATGCTCAATACCCGCTGCGAGAGCCGATGGTCGGTGTCAGTTTCGAGCAGAATTCGGCACGAGCACAGCATATTACCTCGGCTTTTCTCTGCTTCCCCTGCTTCCTCTGCTTCCTCACCTCGGTGCTGTTGGGTAGCATGGCCTCTCCTGCTGTGAGTCGCGCTCCACTCGCTTCTTGGATCTCCTTGATCTTCGTGCCTCCTTTCCCAATGACTGAACCCATACGAGCGTGGGGAACGATGAATCTGATCGTAACAGCCCTGCTGCCCGGCACAGATGGCTGTTCAAAGGGCTCATCATTGATCCTTCGCACGATGAGACCGAAAGCCTGAGAATAGGAGTGCACGTTTGTTCAATCCTCGGCGAGACTACGATGGCTCACCCCAAGAGCAAAGGCCACGCCAATGCTCAGCACTAGATTTTTCGAAGCTGTCATCACCCACCTTGGAAACCGCATCAAGCTGGCCAGCAACAGTCAGGATCCTCTCGGGGTTGCTAGGAATGTGCTCACTCTATTGCAATGTGACAGACAGGGCAAGGTTCGGGGTCAGCGACTGAGACTTTGCCAGCAAAGGTATTCAAGCTCATTCGCTAATCGCAAGCCTGAATCGCGAACCGCGGCAACTCACGATCGTCAAACGGGCGCCGCTCTTGTCTCTGATCTCGTTGATGTGTTTGCCGCCCTTGCCAATAATGATGGAAGCATCTCCAGAGATGATGAGGCAGCGCATAGCGATAGGCTGAGGTTCTGGTTGAGCCGCATCTGCTGCCGAGTCTTGCGCATTCGCATCTGCCCCATTGCCCTCCTCCGCGATGACAGGTGCTGCGACGTCCTCCGCCGCCGCCAGCTCCTTTGAATCTCTATCCTCGCCAACGTCCATCTTTTTATCGTCACTGCTCATCTTGCTGGCCTCCTCCTTTTTGATGGAAGGGGGTTCTGAGGGCGCTTCGGGGCTTCCCTTGGCGCGCTTGACTTCCTTGCTTGCGGGCTCGTGCTCTTGCTCCGGGCTCGTGGTCCTCTCTCGTTTGGTCGAGGCTCCTGTTGCCATGACGAGGATGGCAATACAAAAGCGCAAATTCGCAAATGCGCGATGGGCGAGCAATCGATGCGCGGAGGTTGAGGAGATGGTAGACAGAAGAGCTTGAATCAGCAACCCGCGGACTTCTATGCCCAACTTGATCCAAGACGTGGACGAAGTGCGAGTGTGTGAATGGAGTTGCAACCCAGCGTCGCGCTACCCCAAACTTAATTTACCGACGCAGCGGAAGGTTGATAGATGAGCAGCAGGTGTAGAAGGATGGCACGGCGTTGAGAGGAAAGGTGGAAGTGGATGAGTCAAGAGAAGGAAAGGAAGGCCAGAGGTAATGCAGCAGCGAAAGATGGTCGCTGGCCGGGTCACTGATACGAACGAGCGTGGCTGCCACAATCTAACGCTTGTGAAGGTGTTCAGGCCAAAGCCGTTTCCGCGCACTTCGTAGAACCAATGCAGGTTCCTTTCGAGCCCGCTCTGACCTCGCCAGACTTGAGGCTGGAGAACACTCACTCTAGATTGACCTGCTCAGGCACCAAAAATTTCTCGCTTTACGCTGATTGCTTTGACTGGGGCCCAGCGGCAAGATGGCGAAATGTGGGATAGCGATGCGCCGTCCAGAGTCGCGCGAGTGCAAAGGTGTGAAAGCCAGCCCGGACTTCGAGTCTGTCGTCGGAGATTTTGCCTTGATCAGGTTGTGGATGCAGAGGGAACGTTCGGCAGCCGGATGAGGGTTATGAGGAATGGATCGCCAAGGCAGGGACTCAGGAGCTGATTCGAAAGCCTGTTTGTGATGCTTCCAACGACGTGCAATGCTACAAGCAGTCACAGTGATTGAAAAGACGTGGATGGAAGTGTGGTGTACACGAGAGCGAAATGAAATTGTCATACGCCATGCTGCGCTCGTCTTTCCTCTATGCAAGCATATCCAGCGCGCATCCATCCACTCAGGCTTGGGATCCCACATCAAGGGCTGCCTGATGC